CAAGAGAACTAAATATAATCAATACCCCAAAGCCCTACACCCCAGCGTGGAAACCCATAGCCTTAACTCTTCCGCTAAGAGACTCGGACCAGAGCGACATCAACCAACCCAACAGGGCTTGGATAACACCAATCTCAACCCCACGAGAATAACCAAGTGAAAATCACATATTCAAGTCAAACTAAACGGAAATAATAATACAAAACCCAGAATAAACATGTCTACATACATTAAACCCAGGCATAATCAGTCCACGACCAAACAAAACAATCCAGAATCAAGGAAAATGCATAAAGGTAATTGACAAAACAAGGATGAGAAGCCAATAGGATAGACCCACGGACCTGGTCCGAATCACCTCTGGTTCGCGACGAGATCGAAGGTGCGCAGGTGCAATGAGGAGGAGCTCCTAGAGGGTTTCAGAGAGGTGAAGACGAGGGTGGCGCGTCGCAGTTCTTGGTGCGCGTCGCAGTTCCTGGTGCGCGTCGCAGTTCTTGGTGCACGGCAAGGGTGGTTTTCGCTTGGGGATTCGATTGGGAAAACGGAGGTTAGGGATTCGATTGGGGGAAGGAGATGGGAGAGACAATGGTTTTCGCTATTGCGATAGGGGCAAGGAGACGGTGGTTTTCGCTCATCGCGAGAATGAATTTGGTAATGGCTAGGAGCAAGGGAAGAATTCCGAGAGGAGTCGAGTCCGTAATTGGGTCCGGGAGTCGAGTCCGTAAGGGCAAGAGTGGAGTCTAGGGCTTACTGTCTAAAATTTTTATTATTATTTTTTTTAAGACTTTCCACATCGGCTCATGGGGGAACCGATGTAGAAAGTAAAATGGTATATCGGATGACCGATCGAATGGCTTTATGACTGATCGGAACCGGATGATCGATCGAATGAGATTATGACCGATCGAATTGTTTTAAATCGAGTAGATAGCACTTTCCACATCGGTTCATGGGGGAACCGATGTAGAAAGTGAAATAGTATATCAGATGACCGATCAGAATGACTTTATGACCGATCAAAACTGGATGATCGATCGGAATGAGTTTATGACCGATCGAATTATTTTAAATCGAGTAGAAAGCACTTTCTCGGGTTGTATTTCGCTTGAGCGACACTATACTCGCTCGAGCGACATCCGATTCTAACATGAGGTCTCCCATGTTACATTATCCGAGCTAACTTTGATCGACGTTTACGCAGGTCAACATTCGCTCAAGCGACAATAAGATCGCTCGAGCGACGCGACCTGCACAAAATTGGCATTCTCGGGTTGTATTTCGCTTGAGCGACACTGGTCTCGCTCGAGCGACGCCACCTGCACAAAATTGGCCTTCTCGGTGGTTTTTCGCGTGAGCGACACTCGTCTCGCTCGAGCGACATCCACATTTTTTGGTTATGATCGATTACATTTTCAAACGATCGATCATATTTGAATATATATAATAGCGGTTAAGATTTAACCGCTATTAGACGTGCTATATAATAGCGGTTAAGACTTAACCGCTATTAGAAGTGCTATTATAATAGCGGTTAAGATTTAACCGATATCATATACAACCACATTTTTCAATTCCCTGTATACAATCACATATACAACCACATTAGAAAGTAAAATAGTATATCAGATGACCGATCAGAATGACTTTATGACCCGATCAGAACTGGATGATCGATCAAAATGAGTTTATGACCGATCAGAATTATTTTAAATCAGAGTAGAAAGCACTTTCCACATCGGTTCATGGTGGAACCGATGTAGAAAGTACTTTCTACATCGGTTTTTTAACAACCGATGTAAAAAGTCCGATGTTAAAAGTGTTTTTTGTACTAGTGAAAGTATTTATAGAATTGTGTTAAAGTTTTTTTTTTTTTTTTCCAATGTACGAGATGAAGAAGAGTCTTTGACAGCTATAGTTATGAAAAGCTTTTTCTCTGGAGCAACATGACAAGAGAAGGCAGGGATTCTTTTCTGAACATAAAGCTGACTTACTATTTCATTTTCAATACAATATGTTTCTCATGCATTCATTCACACCTAAACTCAAACCTTCCCATTTTTTATAGGACCACTTACCCAAAGCCAAATCTTAGGTGCATTCATTCACCCACGCTTTCTTTGTAATCTTTTAATGTATATGTTGGTGCAAGTAAAGGTGACTTAATCAATTGAGAGGTTTATGTTGGAAGGAGAGTTTACTAATGAAAAATTTAAATAATATACAAGAAAGAAAGATGTACATTCTTCAAATTTTAAATTCAAAATCGTATATCTTATATGATTAGAACATATTATTGACTTTTGGTTCAGTAGTGAATTTTTTCCTTTATTATTTTATGAATAATATATATTTTTTATTTAAATATATTCTTTTTATAGCATTTTAAAAATTAATGCTTGAAATGTTATATATATATATATATATATATATATATATATATATATATATTATTTTATAAGAAATAGTTATTGAAAGAGATGTAAATTTGTGAAATTAGATGTGATGAAAGCATGTGTTATCATTGAAGAGAGATATACCATGCACTTGTATATTATTTTGGGTAAGCTTGGATGAGATAACAAAAATTACGAGAGTGAAAAAGAAAGGAAATAGAAAAAGTTATTTAAATTAAAAGAAATAAATAAATTTATTTATTTATTATTTCAATATTATTTTTAAATTATATTTTTTTTATTTATATTTAGAGATTTATCGAGTTTTATGATGTGTCCATTGAATTGTAACAGTATGTGTTGAACAAAAGGGAGAAAATATCTACAAAATCTTCTCCAATATTTAAATTAATAAATAAATGAATAGTATGAGATGAAAAAATATTTAAATAAAAAAATATTAAATATTTAATAGGATAACATCTAAATATAAATATCTGAAAATTATAAATATTTATTTTATTTTATAAAATTTGAGTCTAATATCTCAAAGGAGTGTTGACTATCTCGATCAATTATTTGTTTAATCTATTTGTTAAGTTTGGATTAGTGCAATTTTGATATTATTTATTATTATTATAATAAAAAATGTTATTTCTCATAAATAATTTATTGATTTATTTTTCTTTTCATATTATATAAAAAGTCTTTCATTAGAATTTATCATGAAATTAGTTTCTTATTTAATGACTTATAAAAATCCTTCATAAAATTTAACTGGTCGTGTCTTAATGATTTGATTTAGTTTCATTAAGATATATGCTATCAAACCTAAGGGGTATTTTGAATTATTTGCTGTTATTTTATTTTGTAACAACAATATGAATACTTTTATAATTGTTAATTAATATTAAATGAACAAGAAATATTTTTTAATTATGAGTTTAATAATGAAAATTTTAGGTGTTTTTCTTTATAAGTTATAGAAGTTCTAATATCCTTAGCATTATTATACTGAAAAAATGATCATAAAATATAACAAAACATCTCTAAATTTTATTTTGTTCTTGTCCATTATCCATAACATAAACATATTTGGTTCATTGTGATGGTCATCTTGTTCCACTAGTCGTCAAGCTGAAAATGATTTGATGGAATGACTATGACATAGAGAGACTTACAACCTACTGAGATTTTCTTACCAACAGGCCCCCCATTTTCTGCATGAACACATGATACATAATTGAAAAAAGGGGCTTAGCAGGTTCAAGAAAAAGCTCACTTTTTTATGCTTTGGAATCGTATCACTTTCTTTTCCCACAAATCGTTTCTATCATGATTTGTTCCATCTTCGTTCTTCCTTTTCTAGTTGGCACAACCTACATTTCTAACTTCAGATTCATAATTGTTACTTTACTTTTATTTCACACAGTTGTCATTACAATGCTTATCATTATTTATATAATTACCAGAAAATTTTGTCTTAAAAAAACTCTTCACAATAAAATAACTAAGTGGCACTAATGGGGGCACCGTCTCTGTTATGATTATAAAAAGGAAAAGTCTAGAAATCATTTACTACTTTTAAGTGCACCTTTTGGAATGGTATGAATATCATGTGTTTGTATGGTACCGAAGTCAAAATTGATGAGTTTTCTTGCCCTCTATATTTATGTGCATCAACCTATGACAGGATCTTTTTCTAGCTTACAAGAAATTCATTGCATAAGGCTCAAATGGCAATAACTTAATCGCAAAAATGGTTTATGGCAACCATAAAAGAGAGAGAAAAGAAAAACAGATTATCCCCTTAAATAGGTAATAAATAACTAATCAAAGCTGTTACATGTTGAAACTTTCTTTGAACTTTAAAATTATTTACGTGATCTTGAACGCTTCTGTTGGTTCCAGAAGTAACGGTGTATTTGGTTACAGCAGTCACGGATTCCTTGACTTAGCCACCAAGGGTTTTTGCCAAACTTGACCCAAAGAAATTGTGCCCCTTAGTGCTGTATTTTTTTTTTCCTATTTTTTTGTTCTGACCCCTTAGAGTTTTTATTAGTGAGAGTGAAAATCGATTGACAAACATTTTAGATGCATCATAAAATTATCTCAAAATAGGTTCTACTAAACCTTGGCATTGAAGCTCCATTTGTGAATCAGTGATCAACCATGATTATGATTACGAAGTGACAGAGAAAAAAGCAGTGTGAAGTGAAAGAATGTGAATCCCAGTATATCTAGTAGCTGTGCGTTTCATTTGCAAGAAAGGAATTTGTATACACCAAGCCTTTTTGTTTTGTGAAAAAAGGGAAAATGAAAAGTATACACTATGCTGTAGATTGAACTGGTTCTGCATAGGGACTCACGTTATTATTCACTCTTGTATCTCCTTCCTCTTCTCTAATATGATTAACCACACCCAAAAAAATCTCACTATACAAACTATAAACAAAATATCACGAGACACAACTCAAAAAATTTGTTCAGTTGCCTGTGTTAAATTAAATGTCATCATTGTAACTCACATTGATCCTACTTGGCTCAATCAGGATTGTCTCTCTTGAAAGATACCTGGGATTGTGATTTTGATCCAAAAAGAGGGAACTAGTAGCAGCAAATGGGGCAGCGGATTAGTCCATTTTCATTGCAATGGGGGCAACGCTGGAATCCATACTCACCCACCTCACTGTCATCATCTTCTGCTTCTTCTTCATCATAAGCATCATAGTAGATTTTACAACTTCCACAACAGGTTTCACAAGGCACAAACCTTATATCCCCACATGCCTCACAAACTCCCTCGCCATCAACAATGTCTTCAATCTTTTCACAACAATCAAGCAATTTCTCAAGTTTCCCATCTTCGTGTAGTTGTTGAATGTACTCAGCTCCACCGATGTAGTTCCTCCCAATAAACACCCTTGGCAATCCTAATCCGCTCTTACCATAGCCATGACCCAATAGCTCTTTGAGCTCCTCCTTGAACCCTGAATGCATTGACACATCTCTCTCATCCACCCTCACACCTAACCCCTTCAGAATTACCCTCACATGGCATGAATCCTCATAAGTCTTTCTCACACCACGCAAGCTAGTGAAATACAACACCACCTTGTCCTTCCTAAATGGGGTAGCCTTCAAATCCACCACAGCATCATCATCACTGATCTTCTTCTCTTCATCAATAGAAAACCCCTTTGCAGCCATGCTGTTTTGCTTTTCTTGCGATGATTCATCTGCTGAGGAAACAGCAACCACTTTAGGATCTTCAAAATCTGAAGCTGCAGCCTTGAGACTTTGAAAACCTTTTGATTCCTCCTCCTCACTCTTCTGTGGCCGTATTGATTTGGCTGAATCATTGCAATTCTCAATGAAATCACAAGGCTTGGGTGGATCATCAACATGGCCTTTGATATCGACATCAAAAGAGAAACTCTTGATGTGCTTTGGTGATCTGAAAGGGCTTGTGTCTTCAAGGCCTTCCATCAGTTCCCATGTGTTGATAGTTTCTGGCTCACAAGGTGGTGTTGAGATTGGAGTCTTGAGGATTGCTTTTGGTAATATTTGCTCAATCATTTCAGACCATGTCTTTGCCTCACTCTCCTCCTTTCCCTTTTCCTTTTCCTCCTCCTCCTCCTCCTCATCATCATCACCATCATCATCATTTTGGGGCCTGAAACTGTCACTGTCAATGACCTTGCCACTCGGAAACCTTAAACCATTGCCATGGTTGATGTGGGGTACCTGGTCCAGAGAACCTAGAGTGGTTGATGTCAGTGCCACAACATGGTAACTGTCTCCTTTGCTTTGAGGGGGGTGATGTACATGCACTGAGAAGCTTCTAGGCACAGAGGAATAATAAGGGGTGTTGCAATGACAATGTTGACACTCCTTTGGCTTGGAATTAGCACAACCCATAATTATCACATAAAAACACAAATCTGAATTGGTAGATAAACAAACACACACACACACACACACAAATCCCTTTGTTTGGGGATTCAAAAACACCCCACAAACAAACACAAAAGGACTACCACAAATCCAGTCCAGTCAAACCAAAAAGAAAAATGAAAAAAGATGTAAAAAAAAAGGGTGTACACAGAATTTGTTGCCAACGTTCATTCATGTACCAGAAATGGCAATTCAAGATAAAGATTTTGAATGGTTAGTTAAAATTGAATGGAAGAACAAGAGAGAAATAAACCTCTCTCTCTCTCTCACACACACAGAGGCCAAGATAGAAATGAAAAGGAACGTGAGATGAAAACAGAAATGAAGCGAAAGTCAAACAAGGAGGGCGAGAGATCAATCATTCAACCACCGTTCATCATCGACCCACCCCACACGCTCACTGCTTCTTTTCTACAGTTTTAGAGCGAGAAAACAAAAACTATAAATTAGATTCTTAGAACGTAACTTCTGATGAGAGGAGTTTATAAGTCTAGACACAACACAAATCACAGAATCCAAAAAGAAACTGCACGTGTAATTTTGTTTTAAGGTAATAATATTCCACTTCCATTAATCAGGTTTCAGTAATTGATACTGTTTAAGAATATTATTCCGTAAGTATGTATGGTTAATATTTAATAATTTAAGAAAAAAGTATTTAATTAAAATATAAAATAAATATAAAAAACTAATTAGGAATAAATAACTTCAAAACATTAATAAATTCATCACTTAGTTTACTGATAAATAAAGGTATATAATTTTGTTTAGGTATTTATATACTTGTTTCAAGTATGTATTTCCACTACTTAACTTAGTTTATTTCTTATTTATTTTGGCAACAACATATTAATTGCATTACACTTGTTAAATACTTCATCAATTTTGTTTAATACAAAAATTAAGTCTCTCTCCTCTTTCTTAACATAATATTATTATGTTTCAACATCTAATTATACCTTATTTCATCAAAATAATTACATAACTAATTTTTTCTTTTATAATAATTTTTTTATTAAATACTTTTATAATATATAAGACTAATAATAAAATATTTATTAAATATAAATTCAAATTTTATATTAAATAAAAATTTAAAATGAATGTAAAAATTTAGAAATTTATATATATATATATATATATATATATATATATATATATATATATTCATTGAGATGTAATTTAAAACTAAAAAATCTAACAAATTAGATTTTGAAAATAAATATTTTTTTTAAATATTAAATTTTTTAATAATATTATTATAATAAACAATGAAGTATGAATAATATTTTTCTTTAAAACAACATTGACACTCGAGTCAGAATATTCCTCCACTCAAACCCTTAATTATTAATTATTAGAGACTTATCATAACTGAATTTATAATATTATAAAAATTATATAACTACGCTTTATTTAATTTAATGTCATATTTGATCGCCTTGTTCTTAAGTTAATTTAAATTTAAGCATTACTTCCACTCAGTTTTTTTTGTTGCTCACACGTTCTGGTGTGTGTCATATTTTTATTTTATTTTGAATAAATATGTTTTGGAATAAGTGTTACAGATTACAATTAATAATTTTTATCAAATAATATATTATTAATAAATAATAAATTAATATAAAAAAATAAAATTATAAATATTTAATAATTATGAAATTTAAAAAATAAAATTATAAATATAATAAGTTATTCTCGTTGGTTGTGAAAACCTCTTTAGTTTCTGTACTTTAGTCATTTTTTAATTTTGATTTTATATAATTTAGTTTTTATATTAAAAATTTTAATTGTCTGATTTTTAATTTTACATATGTTATTATAAAATTAAATATAAGATTACAATTGTAAATTCTTTGAAATATAAAAATATTAAATTATAATTTTTTTTACTCAAATTTTTTAAAATTAGTATTTCATACTTTTAGTAAGTCACTGTTAGAGGAGGAAATGGTCATGCGACTTTTGGCGCGTGGGGCCGGCTTCCATAGTCAGAAGGAGATGCCGGTCTTACGCGCTTTTGCAGTTTCGCATTCTTTTGCTTCGGTTTTGCTTACCACCGCCAGTAAAGGCGCGTGGGCAGACCAATTATTATTTATTTTTTTAATTTTTAAGGTTTATAATTTTTTTCTCTTATTTTTTATTTTTTAATCTTTAACAAAATTTTAACTTGTCTTAACTTGAAACTTTTTTCATATTATCCTTAGCGATATTATTCTTTCAATAATTTGTCAGATTATCAATAATTTAACAAAATAATTATCTGAACAGAATAAACATAAGTAACTATGTTGTAAATTTTGTGATCAATCATGTGTCAACGTGATCAATTTGTCCACATAAATAATACTTGAAAAAGTAATTTGTAGAAAACATTTATTTAATTATCATGTCAGACTTTTAGACATGTGACAATGTTATTGAAACTATAAATATGATTGTGACATCATAATTAACTTTGTTATTTAACAGTACACAAAATAATAAACATTTATTTGAAAAAAGAAAAAACTACCAAAAATTCAATAAATCCTGTACTCTTTAACGTCAACGCTTAAAATAATAAAACTAAAAGAACTAAATATTTTAATTTAAATAATAAAATTAATTAAATAGATGAGAAGAAATATAAATAATTTATTTATTCGATTAAAATTTTATAAATAAAAAAAATTATTTAAATACTATTTTATAAAAAATATCATATTTGAAATTTTTTTCATTTCTTGTAAGATTAATTTATTTTGTAAAAAATGTGAACTCACCTTTGTAAAACTTTCCCTTAATAACGATTTCTTTAATAAAAATCACGTGGATATTTATTTTATTTTACATATTATATATTATTTTATTAAAATATGATATAATTATAAAATATTTTAAATTTTCATTTATGTGTAAATATCTTTTAAACGAGTTTTAACAATATTTTATTTCATATGAGAAAATAAATATATTTTAGTTTATATATTTAAACTTTAGAGGGTGAAAAGAAAATTTAATATATCTAAAATGAAATTATTTTCTTACGTTGTTTAAACTTAACAAAATTTCAATATTATTTTAAAAACATGTTAAGATGACATGAAGTAAATTCAAATGTCGATCTTGAAAAAGGAGAGATTTTCGTCTTCAAACAAAATAAAAATATATTTGTACTAAAAACAAATAATCTTAGTAAAATTATTAATATTTTTAATTAAATATAAATTATTAATACTGAATCTATAAATCATATAATATTTGATGTTAATAAGGTCAACAAAATTAAAACATCTAAAAAAAATTGTTTCTATTATAAATGAAAATAAAACCCAAATTATTGGGAAAAGATATTTAAATCTTATTAGCATTTTAAATTTTGATTTTGTCTTTATTGTTATTCTTTTAAGTTTTAATCGTTTATCTATTTCTCAAATAACAATTGATTTATCTTGTATGATAATTGTTTATGACTCTTGTGCTATTAAAGGTATCAAAACAAAACAACCAATTAGTTAGGATTTTAGGAGAGGAAATTATATTCCTTAAATCTTTCAAAAAATCGGACGAATCACAATAAATAAACATTAATGTTGGTAACACTAAGGGAGAAAATAAAAAATCTAAAATCTTATTATTGTATCAATGTTGATCATGTCTCATCTAGGTATTTTAAAAATTTATTTCCTACACTATTTAAAAAGTATGATATTTTTAGTTTTCATGGTTATGTTTGTGAATTTGCAAAGAGTCATAAAATCTTATTTTCATTAATTTTAAATAAAAGTTCTCAACCTTTTATGGTAATACATTATGATGTGCAGGGTCCATCTAAAACTCAAAATTTAGGTATATCTCGTTAGTTTATTACTTTTATTAATTATTGTACAAAAATGATTTGATTATACTTAATAAAATAAAAAATGAAGTAAATTTATTATTTTAAAATTTTCATAAAATGATAAAAACTCAATTTAATGCTCAAATTCAGGTTTTGCATAATGATAATCATATGAAATATATAAATTTTGAACTATATCAATATTTAGAAGCTAATGAAATTATTAATCAAATCACTTATACTAATATAACTCAACAAAATGATATTGTTGAAAGAAAAAATCTACATATATTATTCGCACTTCGTTAATTGAAGCACACATGTCATTTTGGTATTGGGGAGAATTTTTTTATTTCAATATAGAGACTCCTTTAAGTTTTATTGAATTTAAGACATCTTTTAAACTTTATATAATTTAACTGTCATTCCTATAATTCTTAATATACCCCTCATAATTTAGAGTATATGAATTTAAGTGATATACACTACAAGAAAAATCGCTTTTAGCGACCGAAAAAATCGGTCGCTAATGGCTAAAATTCGGTCGCTATTCTGTTAGCGACCGAAATTAGCGACCGAAATGGTTGGTCGCAAAAGGGCAAGTTGCTAAGTTGTTAGCGACCGATTTACATTTCGGTCGCTAAATAGCGACCGATCTGGTGGTCGCTAAAGTGGTCGCTAAATAATTTGGTCACTTATTTATTGGAGACCAAAATAGCGACCGAATTAAGTGGTCGCTAAATCGGTCGCTAAATCCGTGGTAAAGTTTTAAAAAATAGCGACCATTATATTCGGTCGCTAATATATTAATATAATTATTTAAATAATAATTAAAATCGGTCGCTAAATCGATCGCTAAATTGGAGACAAAGTTAAAAATAATAGCGACGGATATAATCGGTCGCTAATATATTAATTGAATTATTTAAATAATAATTTAAATCGGTCGCTAAATCGGTCGCTAAATTTGAATTGTATATTATAATAAATTTGTAACGACCAAAAATTTGGTCGCTAAATTAATAACAACTTTTTTTTCTCCAATTGGACACAATTATATTACATAATGAATGCTTAGTAGTTAGTAGTTAAGATGCATTCTCATCCATGAAATGTGGACCAATTGGTAAAAACAATAATAAATTAATAATAAGATGACCTGAATAGATATTGGTGCATCCATATTTAAATTACTTTTTCCATTCCACTATCACTGGGATATGAGTCTTGATCATGAACCAGAACTAGAGGTTTATTCCACAATTGAAGACTTCAAGCAACAGTTATACCAACATGGAATACATGTCAAGGGAACACAGATATATGACGAAGGGATCAGCAGTTAGAGGACCTCCAAAAAGGTGGAGAAGTTTGCATGAATTTTTCTTGAATGCTTGGGAAAGGTATATAAGGAAACCTTTTGATTCAGATACATTAAAATTTAAAATACTTCATGAACAGTGATGGCTAGGAAAATTTAAGCTAACTGAAATAATCTGTATGTTCTCACCATGCTCCATCTTTTGATGATCTTGCTTCAAATTCCAACTCGATGGATCTCGCATAACTTCGTAAAACAATCAGTCCAGTGTACAATGTCACAAGATAACTCATTTTATTAGAAGTTTCCTCAAATATATCAATAAATACAACTGTAGCAGCTAGCTATACAAAAATAGAAGGAAAATAGAAAGTGAAAATTTTTTTATGGTGGGAATGTTATTATCACTTTCATGTTCCTTCATTACTGCCAAGTTATTCCTCATCTTCATATCATATTATCTTCTACCAATCATGTTCCTAATAACATAAAACAACTTAACGTAAAAGTCATCACTTAAGCAACAATGGTAGACACTGCAATTATATTAAATAATTCAATGTTGAATATTTGAATATGTGATGACAGACAGCATAGACACGAGAGACATAAAATAAAATAGGCAACCTACCATAACTCAAGCAGCAATGAAAAACACTGCAATTATATTAAATAAATCTAATGTTGACCATTTGAATACTTGAAGACAACATAATAACTTACTATGCTAAGAACCATAAGGTCCACCAGAAGACTCACCTTCCTTACATTTAGGAACCATCAACTCACTGTTAGGGACTAGTGCTAAGTCTTGGAGCCTAGCCTGAAACCAACTTTCAATCTAGAATTTCTCCAAAATAAAGGATTAATTAAAAACTACATAAAAAAAGGCACAACCATCTAAGAATATAGGAAAAGGAAAACAACAATATTTGAAGGATGCCGCACAGGAACCCACAAAAATAAAATACATGAGTTAGTGAGAAAGAACATTAACCTCTGTCCATTTTATAACAGGCTTCCAAAGACGACCCGAGGAACGATCGCACAAACATCACATTCTAACACTCCTCAATGACAATACTTCTTCTATTACTCGGAAAATAACCTAACAACCAATGAAAAGCGTAACTCACTTGAAACTTCCAGCAAGTTTTTGGTAGAATTCTCTCGTCCAATGATCCTCCCTTAGGTTCCTTCAAGAAATTCTCCATTTTCTCAATCTGTTTGTCAGAGCACAAGTTCAAATCATTAACAGGACATAAGACACCTTCTGCATTCTATAACCAAGGTTTTAAAAAATGGTATGCAATCAAGGTTTTTAGACTGTCCACAACTAACCAGTTTAAACCAGACCCACACACAATTCATCCTTAACCAAGGAGAACAATCCACAGTAAAAAGGCATAAAAGAAATAGAACATAGCAGCAAAATGTGAACCGAAGCGCTTGACCCGCGACCCCTCTGACTCACCTCTAGTTCGCGGGGAACTCAATGGCACGATTGGGGCAACTGAGGCGTGGAAAGACCTCGATGGTGGAGGTTAGGTTGAGATTTAGGGATGGCCACGATGGTGGCCAGGGAGGCGGTGGTGATGACTGGGGTGGAGGTTGGATTAGGGTGAGGGCTGACTTGGGGGGAGCAGTGAGGGGGCTAGGGCTCGCCGGGAGTGAGGAGGAGATACTGGCCAAGGTTAAGAGGAATGGGTGAGTGAGGCGCGAGAGTTAGGGTTATTTGGGAATAAGTGGCGCGAGACAGGGAATTGAAAAATGTGGTTGTATATAATAGCGGTTAAAACTTAACCGCTATTATAATAGAACTTCTAATAGCGGTTAAATCTTAACCGCTATTAGATAGCACGTCTAATAGCGGTTAAATCTTAACCGCTATTATATATATTCAAATATGATCGATCATTTGAAAATGTAAT